GAGCAAGTGTAGGATGAAAGAAAGACAGAAAAGTTGTCTTATCGCCTCGTGATATCATAAAATGTTGGAAAGCAATAAAGAAAAGAAAAAGTAAGAGTTGTTTGGTCATTAAAATATACTTCTACTCTTGTTCGGTATAACGACCGAAACAATATCTAATAGGTAGCAATATGAATGACCAACGCATTCCAAACTTAGAAGCAGTAGGAAAACTGCTAAAGTATCTTGACATATTCTATCCAGATGGTAGAGCGATCGATCCGGTGAAAGAAAGCGTTAATGGATGTCCGATTTATAAGGAAGAGGTTAATGAGTTTTGTCGCTTGCTTGAAGCCGATTGGTGTGATTACCATCTTGATATGCATATAGCAGATAAATTTCGTTCAAATCCCGACAACATCAAGCATGCCAATTGGGACGATATCAAGAACTTTTTCGGTTGTTGTCTGAGACAAGAACGATGGACTCATGGATGGCTACCTCGTTGGATTTCAGGGGGTGTAATACATAACGTACTTCTTAGAATGAAGGAACTCTCGCAACAATAGTCGCTTTTTAACTGTATGAATGCTTGCTCCATTGCTGATTTCTGTATTAAATTTTTATAAGCAACCAGCGTTTTTTCAGCGTTTCTTGGTACATTTTACCACTTACTTTTTATATACTTTTACGTCAATACAGCCTTTTATTAACGAAATATTATTTGTTTTCATAAAATTGCTGAATACGATATTACGCACATTCTTTTCTAAAAGAAAGATTTGAAAATGATATGTGTTAGAAATAAGATCGTATAGAGATTCTATTCTTAGTATAGATGATGGCGCATATATGAACAGATCATGGGTGCTTGTCTGCGAGTGGGAACCAGTATATGTATGTTGCCGAAGACAAACGTGCAATCGGTATACTCACAACCGGCTACAACGCTGGCATCGGCGTATATATGAGTGGGTATGAAGAGAGAAGTGTGTATAGAATCATAAACCTGTAAATTGTTGAATGAAATATTTTTTATATGATATATTTTTATCCAGCATTCCACCATAAAATGACAAATAATTGACTGTGTTATAAAATTCAATCAGAAAAAACTCTCTTTAAACATTATTATTGCTGGAAAGTCGTCGTTTTCGCATAAAAATATCTCAATATCGTCAATAGAAAGCATCGCTGATTTCTGAAATGAGTCGACAATTATACTCATCGTAACAGTTACATAGTGCTTCGGTAATTTGCGTTAAACATACAAAATATCCAAATATTTTAGGTTTTCATAATAGTTATCATAATTGGTTGCAATTACGTTTGTTTGAATAATCGATAGCAGTTAATATCTAATTAGCATCTTGTTTATTAACTCTCATTGTAAATGAGATACACTAGGTATTGTTAATTGAAAGAATTCAAATAATGCTTGATTTCTTGATTCAAATACATTGCAAAATAGAACGTTTGCAGAAAGGAGTAAAGTCTCGCACATACAAAGAGACAAAAATCTTGAATATTTTTTATTGAATAGACAATATAGACTATTAATGATGCGGGTATCAGTGGAATTATTTTCTCTACTCACATCCTTGAATCTTCAAAAAAATTATAAATATTGGTTTTAATCTTTATCAAGTAAATCAGCTATTCACCAAATTCTGTATTCATCGAATTTCATAGTTATCAAATAATCGCCTCATATGACAACTAAAACTTGAAAAAGCTTTCTATTTATCAAGCCACTTAAAAATAAAAGAAAACGAACATTCATTTGATGCATTTGAAACCCATCGATTAAAACGGATATTTTCATTATTTTAGCTCCATGATTTTGATCAGAATCAAATTAATTGTGTGCGCTTCGTTCAAGTCTTTCTTTTCATTAATGAAATTGAAGTGTATCAAAAGTGATGTCTGTGACATCAACCGCAATGTCAATTTTTTCGTGTTGTTAATATAAAATTGATGAAAGTCATGAAGTTCGTTTCTTTTTCTAAAACGGATGGCACATGCTAAATAACTATGTTGAAATCAAGCTCTTTCTAAGCATCGAAAGAATAAATTCCTTACAGGCATAGTAATTTATATTTATTTTAGATGTTCAACGAATGTTAATCGTAAGTATCCATGTTCGGATCTACTTCTCCGCGCTAATTCCACAGCTTTTGATAGTTCGAGAACGAGCATCTATAGGAGAACATCATTTTTATTTTCATCATAATCTGATCCTTCGAGAAAAATCGTTCGATTTATTAAAAGTTCAGTATTTTACTGAACTATAATCAAGTCCTCGAACTATCGAAAAATGAGAATCTCAGGAGGAGAGTGCTGGAGAGGGTGTAGATGTGACTGTGGTTTTGCATCTTCTCCTCGCCTATACTCGCACCCATTCACGCCCACAACCAGACCCACATCCAACCCACACCCACACCCACATCCACATCCACATCCACACCCCACATCCAC